AAGTCGAGGGAATTCTTTCAGTGACAGAAGAGCGCCATGGATGATACGAAGTGTGAATGTTGCGGAGAAGAGCTCTCGAAGAGAAGGGCGAAAGGTTTTCAACAAACATTTATTCATGCAAAAGCCAAAAAAGGGGGTGTTGGTTAATACATGTATAAATGAAGACATTGCCTCATCTGCTCAATAATTTCAAGGTTCTCCATCAGCGGTTTTACCATGTTGCTCCCGACACAGTAAAATTTTCCCCTACACAGTAACGATTCAACTCTTAATCGTGCGACACAGTAAAAATTTTGCCGACACAGTAAGATCTGTTATGATTAGAAAATCCAAACATAAATTTTCTCTAACGGAAACTTTAATCAAACAATTCTACCGTCTTCCAGTTCTAAAATGTAGAGCACTTTATTGTCATTACCTATTTTAATGACATTGCTTGATCAATTATCTCCTAGACCCTCGCCGGACTTTACGCATGAAGGAACTAAGACAAACAGTTTATTTTAACACTTCCATGTAACGATTAATTAGTAGTTGCATTAAATTACAAATTACAATCAGATCTAGATGCAGCAGCACGGTGGGAGTCTGATTGGCTTATGGCTTTCCACCCAGACAAGTGTACTAAACTTACTATCTCTCATAAGAAACAGACATATTCTAAAAACTACATTCTACATGATCATGTACTTGAGTCAGTAAGCTCAGCCAAGTATTTAGGTGTAACACTACAGTCAAATCTAAAGTGGAACACACATTATGACAATATTATTTCAAATGCAAATAAATCATTAGGATTTCTTAAACGTAATCTAAAAATTTCAAACACAGAAGTAAAATCCAGAGCCTATCAAGCAATAGTGCGTCCTAAATTAGAATACTGTTGTAGTGTCTGGGATCCCCACACGACACTGTATAGACAAAAACTTGAAATGGTTCAGAGAAGGGCCGCTCGCTATGTGCATAACAATTACCACAATACTAGTAGCGTTACAGATATGATTAGTACACTACAGTGGCCAACACTAGCTGAGCGACGCCTCAAAACCAGATTAGTAATGTTTTTATAAAGTAGTCCATCAACTTCTAGCCATACCAACAGACATACTCATACCTACAGATTCAAGAACCAGACAGAATCACACACAAACATTCAGACACTTACAGGCTTCAAAAGAAACTTACAAATGGTCCTTTTTTCCACACACTATAATACAATGGAATTTGCTCCCCCGGTTCGTCGTCCAAACCACTAAAGTAGACATTTTTAGAGAACAGCTAACTCCAGCTGTTCTCAACAAAATCATGTAAAATAAAATAACATTCACAATTTTCTTTTAATCACGAATTTTGTAAATAAAAGCAGTTTTTCTTTATATTAAGTTTGTTATATACTTAGATCACGCATGCGCACCAGCATGTAATCTTCAGCGCTCTGAAGTTTTGCTGTATCTAGATTGATTGATTGTATACTGTTTAGCATCCCTCTCCAGAATATTTCACTGATATGGAGACGTCACCATTGCCGGTGAAGGGCTGCAAATTTAGGCCTATGCTCGGCACTTATGGCCTTTGAGCAGGGAGGGATCTTTATCGTGCCACACCTGCTGTGACACGGGGCCTCGGTTTATACGGTCTCATCTAGAAGAAGAAGAAGAAAATAAAGGTGTATTATTATTATTTTTTTTTAATTTAAATGTCTTTTCTATAGAGCCACGACTCTAGAATTATGGTAGCACTGTAAGTCAAACATAACATCGTACCGAAGCCATTTAATTGATGTAGATAAGTTACTTAAAATTGCCGTCCTATTCAAGGAACTCTTAATAGTATTTTACTATTCAGACGCAGTTCAATTAAGGCAAAATTTTCTATAAACAGTAACCGAATACGATCAATTAATGTTTAACTGTTTTATTTTTAAGCACGACACTCTGGTACTCCAGCATGCTAGAGGTTCACGGCGAGATACTTTTGACTTGGCGCCGCGTAACCTCTAGCATCCATTGTAAAAATTCTCGCCGCTGAAACAGGAAAAATGGGAATTCGTTGTTTGGTGATAAACCAAGGTTTTGTCACTTACGAGTGTCGTGTTACGATATTTTTTACATTAAATACAATTAAACTTACCCTTTGTATGATGATCGTATCTTATATTAAGGATAAATCCACATTTTTAAACATTGAAGCAGAAATCAAAACACTGAGGTGAATGTCGTCTATTTCAAAACAGGAATGGAATGTAAAAATTTCGACAAAACGAAAATCAGTTTAAACTAAAAGTTGACATACGACTTTTAGGTGTCAAAAATAAATAAAACTGATTTGATGGGACTTTATAATAATAATAAAAAATAAGTAACACAATTACACCTTTATCAGTAAGTTTCAAATTATTTATTAAATGTCAAGGGGGGGGGGGGCACGGAAGTTAGAAAAACAGTAACATTGTATTTGGTTTTGACAAAGCAGGGGCATTTCAAAATACATATGGAGCAGCACCTGCATGCTGCATATCGACAAGTGTCACCACTGCATCCCTCATTACAGACATCCTTTACTATTTCTTTGTTTTTTTTTCTCAGAGTCAAAACAGTTCATAATTTGATTCCTCAAACAAATTTTCTTATCATTTCTGATAATATCAGCTATTTCTTTTGAAGTATTTTTTTGAGATAATGTAAAATTGTCATATATGACAATGGAATGTCCCAATCTACCGTCACGGGCACATCTTCCAGCTTCCTGCCAGTATGAGACAACAGATTTTGGGCACCCAATGTGTATAATTAAATCAACATCGTTGATCTGCACACCCATTCCGAGGGCTACTGTGGCCACTAAGCATCTTATGGTTCCGTCTTTATCTGTGAAATTTTTAATAATGCGAGACTTTTGTTTCATCATGAGTGCATTTATGAAACATCTCTACCAATAAATGCTCGGAATCCTTAATACCCTTATCATAGCAATGCTCACCTAATTTTTCTTTCAGCATGAGAAATGTGTCAGATACCTTATCGATAGACCTGCAATAAATAATTGTTTTCTTTGAATTTACCCCATTCTTTTCAATGTGCTCTACTAGCCAGTTTAACTTTTTTCCTAAATCATTTGATGTTGACTTAACAAAATCAATAAAAATATTTGTTCTGTCAGGTGGTCTGAATATTGTGACGGTTTTCTCGTCAAGTTGTAAATATTTTACGATATCACTTTTCACTGATGGGGTGGATGTAGCAGTGAGTGCCAGTAATGGTGTGTTTGGGAAAATACTGCGCAACTCATGAAGCTCTCTGTAATCTTTCCTGAATTCTTCACCCCACTCGGAAATGCAATGGGCTTCGTCAATACACAACAAAGTAAAATTTTTCTGCCATGCGTCGCTTAAAAAAATATCTTTCCAAAAAGGCTTTAACGCCATCTCAGGGGAGGACAGAATGAAATTGAATTTCCCATGCTTGACATCTAAAATAAAATTATAGATTATGTATTAACATGTTTTTTTAAATTATATTATTTTAAAAACTCGTTCGGTTTTATTTCCAGTTTTTAGCTCTACTGGTCAGAGACCAGAAGAGCTTATGCGATAGTAATGCGTCCGGCGTCCGTCCGTCTGTCTGTCTGTCTGTCTGTCTGTAAACAATTTTTCAAAATGCTACTCCTCCTACAGTTTTGGTCTGATTTCAATATAACTTGGCACACAAGTAGACTACACTAAGATACATAATTCTATGCATCCGTTTTTGATTTCCATGAACGGTGTTGCCGTGGTTACTAAAAATAGAAATTTCTGTGAAATGCTTTCAAAATGCTACTCCTCCTACAGTTTTGGTCGGATATCAATATAACTTGGCACACAAGTAGACTACACTAAGATACATAATTCTGTGCATCGGTTTTTGATTTCGATGAATGGTGTTGCCATGGTTACTAAAAATAGAAATTTCTGTGAATTGCTTTCAAAATGCTACTCCTCCTATAGTTTTGGTCCGATTTCAATATAACTTGGCACACAAGTAGACTACACTAAGATACATAATTCTGTGCATTGGTTTTTGATTTTGATGAACGGTGTTGCCATGGTTACTAAAAATAGAAATTTCTGTATAATTCTTTCAAAATGCTACTCCTACAGTTTTGGTCGGATTTCAATATAACTTGGCACACAAGTAGACTACACTAAGATACATAATTCTGTGCATCGGTTTTTTAGCTCTACTGGTCAGAGACCAGAAGAGCTTATGCGATAGTAATGCGTCCGGCGTCCGTCTGTCTGTCTGTCTGTCTGTAAACAATTTTTCAAAATGCTACTTCTCCTACAGATTTGGTCCGATTTCAATATAACTTGGCACACAAGTAGACTACACTAAGATACATAATTCTGTGCATCAGTTTTTGATTTCAATGAACGGTGTTGCCATGGTTACTAAAAATAGAAATTTCTTTGAAATTCTTTCAAAATGCTACTCCTCCTATAGTTTTAGTTCTATTTGAATATAACTTGGCACACAAGTAGACTACACTAAGATACATAATTCTGTGCATCGGTTTTTGATTTCAATGAACGGTGTTGCCGAGGTTACTAAAAATAGAAATTTCTTTGAAATTCTTTCAAAATGCTACTCCTTCTATAGATTTGGTCCAATTTCAATATAACTTGGCACACAAGTAGACTACACTAAGATACATAATTCTGTGCATCGGTTTTTGATTTCGATGAACGGTGTTGCCATGGTTACTAAAAATAGAAATTTCTGTGAAATTCTTTCAAAATGCTACTCCTCCTACAGTTTTGGTTTGATTTCAATATAACTTGGCACACAAGTAGACTACACTAAGATACATAACTCTCTGCATCGGTTTTTGCTTTGATGATTGGCAAGGATCATTTTTCTATGAATTGCTGTTTTAAAAGTTTCAAGTCGCAACTGCTACTTTTCTCTTCCTTTGTTTTAAGTATAAACCAGTAGAGCTACAGTCTCGACAGAGACTTCTGGTTATATTATTATTAATCTTGTACGAGTTGAGTACTCATATCGGACTCTAATCGGACTGCAGACAAATTCCATTTGCTGAAATTCTTAATTTGGTCATCCATCAGCGCTTTAAGCGGCGATATAATTATAGAAACCGACCTCTCAGCTGAGCTTTGTTTTAACATTGTTGGCATGGCCATACATAATGTTTTTCCGAATCCCGTCGGCAGGAAACAAAGGACGTTGTGACCTTCCAAGACTGATGACACACACTGTAACTGTTCTTCTTTTGCTTCAAAACTTATGTCAAAATTAGACTTGATTTCTTCGAATTTACTTCTCAAGGCCTCCATGTTGGTAAAAATCACGTGCTGGTTGCAGGGACTGTAAATCTACATCCGGGTACATCTAATTAAGATGGAGTCGAGCTGCGCAAATTGCCATGAACCATTTAGAAAGAAGAAAAATGATAAAGGCTATTTGAGATATTCTCTGGAAAACAAAATTCCAAATTCGGAATTATGTGCACGGGAAGCACTATCGCAAACATCGTGTATCTCGGTGATGACCCCAATTAGTAAAAAAAGGCAGGGCAGATTTTTATGCCCTGTCTGCTAGGGTAAACTTGTGGAGAGTCAGAGATACCAGAAATCATTAAATGAATTCTGGGGGCGGAATGTTGGAGGTAATTATCTGAACCATATATTCTGATTTTTTAAATATCCTCCCTTTATTGATTGTATTTCAAATGAAAATTAACCCTTTACCTTTAAACCCCCCCCCCCAAAAAAAAAAGCTTGTAATCAATCAAATTAATCATATTAAGCTTATTATACCCCCCGCAAATGAAGTTTGGGGGGGGGGGTATATGGGAATCACCTTGTCCGTCTGTCTGTGCAATCGTGTCCGGTCCATATCTTTCTTACCGAGGGACATTAGAATCTACTACTCCACACAAAGATTGCCCATGACCTAAGGGTGTGTTTTGACCTTGACCCAAGGTCATTTGGGGAACTTCAAGGTCAATGGAAGAAAAATTTCATAATTCATGTTTGATACATATCTTTCTTATGGAAAAACTTACTTCTGAAAAACCCAGGGGGGGGGGTGTATTTTGTCCCGTTTGGACAGTTCTAGTTTGATTTGTCAGAACAATATATAAGTGTGTGAATTATTTCAAGTTGTTGGCTATCAGTACAATGAAATAAACACAGTGTAGTATTTTTTTTCACCCAGATACCTACATTGGTAAAAAGATTACTTCTACAAGTATTTCCGATAAAAATTCATCATTCCCCCCATCAGATAAGCCTATTGTTTTGCCTTCTACAAGCACTCCGAAGGTAGGAGATTTTTAAAACATTTTTTTTCAAGATTTACAATTAGATATTAATAAAATATGACCAGTAATTAAAAGAGGTATTTTTTAATTTCCTTTGTACAGGTTAGTAAACGGAGAAGCTTGTCCAAATCAGCAAGAACACCCAATAAACGGGATCCAATTATTTGCAATGTGAAAAATAAAAAGTATTCTGCGGCCATTAGGGGAATGTATAATGCTACAGCGGGAACAAGACGCCATTTTCAGAATGTTGTGGCTAATTTGGTGCGCAAAGAAATTTCCGCTCTATCAAAAGTAAAGGATTTTCCTCTATGTCAGGAGGCCAGTGTAGCCAATATTTCAAACTTTTCTTGGAATGAAACGTTACAAGCATTTGAAAAAACCGCGCCTCTGACATACAATGTCCTTCGTAGCATTGTTGCTACGAAAAAAAGAAGAGAATACTTTGATACGAGGGAAAGGTATTAATTTGAAGCCCCCAGTTGGATGTGCCCTATCAAATCTACTTCATGCAAAAGCACCACGGAAATATAGCTTCATACCGACAATTTTCTCAATTCAGCTTTGGAGGGGGGGATTAAAAAGAGAAACATTAAAACAATTGTGTCACACTAAAATTTGCCTTGGTTATAAGTTATAAAGGAACTGTTTCCGCGATAGATCGAGTTCGAATGGATTTCGATAGAGGGGCAAGTCGCGCGAGAGAGGAATTGCAAAAGCAGTTATCAGAACCTATTACGGATCACCGTCCTCTAAATGATGATGAACTAGAACTTTTGTTCGCGTTATCGGAAATAATGCCAAACATGGAAGATGAATTGAACTAGTTTTAATTGTAACGGGGACCGTTACAGATGTTCCCCAAACGCTCCCCAACTCCCTTCTTGTTCCATTTTCCTGTAAGACTTTTTTTTAAAAATATGCTCAGTATCAAAAGATTTCATCAAAGAATTATGAAAACTACAATGATATCAACTATATCCCATTTAACGTATTGCACGCGCACGCGCTTGCATGCACATGCAAGATGATCAAGGCATGTTGTTTAAACCATTAATCTATCTTTATATCGTGAGAATCAATCAAAATATCATAAAAATATAAATGTTACCATTTTTCGAATATATTGGTGATTTTACGTATTGCGCATGCGCTCGTGCATGCATGAATGTCCTTGCATTCAAATTTGATAGAAGCATAAAGTAGGAATCAATTATACCTATTCATATTCTGAATTTCATCCCGTTTCGTTGAGAACTTAGAAAGTTACAGACATTTAAAGTTTCAGCCAATCAGATTGCAGCACACGTGCATGCGCATGCTTTTATGACAATTGTAATATATTATAGTATAGATCTTCGTAATGTATGACTATGTTCAAAATTACAAAGGATTATGAAAAAAACAAGAAAGATATTGATACTTTTGTTTCAGCCAATCAGAGCAAAGTGCACGCGCATGCGCGTGAGATCTTGCTATTCTGACCATGTCATCATGTCTATACTACTAATATATTCTCATATTATGAGTTTCAAAGCATTTCATCAAGAAATAGAAAAGTTGCGGCTATATCTATTATAACAGTCATTTCACGTGTTGCACGTGCGCGCTCTTGCAAGCACGTGCGCGAGGAACATGTCATCATGCCTATATAACTAATATATACTTATATTATGAGTTTCAAAGCATATAGTCAAAAATAGAAAAGTTACGGCTATATCTATTATATTGGTCATTTCACGTGTTGCACGTGCACGCTCTTGCAAACACGTGCGCGGAAAATGACCTTGATTCCGCAAACCTACATAACATGTCTACTAACCCTAAAAAGGTTTTACCTACTTCGGGTGAACAGTTTACAAGATCACTCGCGGACAAAATAGTACCCAGGAAGAAGAAGAAAAATAATAATAATAAAAAACAGAGTAAAAACAATATGTTCCCCAACTTCGTTTGGGGAACATAATAATCCTAGTGATGAGAGTGACCAGAATGAAGAAGAGGGTGAAGAGAATTCTGATGAGGATACAGACGACGAATTAGACAATACTGATGAATATATTTCAGAAAGTGAAGACTCGGACGAGAATGAAATTAATATTACAGCATTGGATGTTGATTTGAGTTCAGTGAATGAAGACGAAGTACTCGATGCTACTATTCCTGCCACAAATGAAAGTCATGAATGCTCACACCCGGGGTTTACTTTATGCTGGGACAATGTTGGGAAAAAAATTATAACACGTCACCCTTCGATCGATGCTCAGAATACTTATCTTAATATGGCATTAGGATACATGGCTGTCAATCGTGTTCCTGTCGCTCATTCAGAGTTCACAAGTTCAACAAAAGCGGTGGATTTGGACCCAAAAATATTTGTTCCAAATGAAGAGGATTTCACAGAACTCTATTCAAGAATGGAGGTTATTGTAGAGAGAATTATTTCTTGGTTTCGAGATCATTTGAGCGAGAGCGTTGTAAAGTGCATATTGCATCAACATTCAACAGAGATGAGTTAAAAAAGTTTGATAGTCAATCTAGGGGTGTTTAACGAAAACCCATCTTCTACACAAGGAGCTATTGGCATCTATAACCAATTGTTGCAATATGTTCCATCTGTTGATGAGAAGCTCTACCCTACAGTTGTGTACGGTGATGGTCTCAGTTGTGAGCGAGGGAAGGACGCACAAAAAGCCATGTGCAATGGATTGACGCAAAGAGAGAGACTCGAAGGTTTAGAACCATCGGCCCAAGAATTTCATAAAGAGATGCTCTTATTACAGGACCATTTCAACGAATTTTTCCATGGTTCTAGTGCAGCGGATAAAGGAACTATGTTTTACATTAAAAATGTTTTCAATTTCCGAACTGTGAAAAAGGAAATAGGTAATTGTTTTACCGATGCATGGGAAATGATGTGTTTCACAACTGAAGCTTACGTTTGTTTGCTAGCAATGAACATCCTAGGCATGAGGTCAATTGACGACATACCCAATGGAATTCCCGCAAATGTAGAAGAATATCGGGATTTTTTGAAAACCACAGCGAAGTACGTAGTCGGTACACTTTCGCATAAACTTGATACGGAATTACTATTGACAGATGAGGAAAATAACGAAAGTTTTCAATCAGAGGCAAACAGAAAAAGGGGGAAAAAAGAGGAAACTGTCAAAGAGCGCAAAACAAATAGCACCGGAGGAGAGCGAAGATTTTAAGCTGAATTACAACCGTGCTTTGACTTGGAGAGGCCCCAACCCGATGTGTAGAAGAGACGCTGTCAGAGAGGGTGATGGGGGTGCTATGATGAAGTATTGGAGAATGGATCTTACGCAGTTTTTTGCAAAAGGACATACCAAATACATCATTCTAGCACATCGTCTTCGTTGTGCAACAAATGGTTGGTTATCAGAGAAAATCAAGAAGGAAATAATTTGGAATAGAACCGTCAATTATAGTGGTGGAATAGGAAGAAATTTGCCAATGGATCTAATGAACGAGATGCTTAACAGGTCATACAAAGATATGCTTGAAGGAGCAAAGGGTAGATACACAGAGGAAACAATACAGCGATGTGGCCAAATTGTAGGACCTTTGGGAGAATCCCTTGACAGAGTTTTCGACACATCAATTGTTGAAAATGATGTTTACCGTCATAGAAAAAGGGCACAAAATAGGGATAAGAATGTCTCGAGATTGATTAATATGATGTTGTCAAAAACCCCTTTTCCGAGATCGTTGGTCGCCGATATCGCGCTTACTCTTCATTCAAGCACTCTGAAAACCCAAAATTACCAAAGAAGTTTTTGGGAAAGATTCAACAACTCTCTAAAAAAATCGACAGGTTGAGAGACAGTGTATTGAACAGATAAAAGTGTAGTTTTATTAAAGTGAAAAAAGTATTTCTTGTAATAAAATCATCCAAATAAAATTTCAAAACAAATAGTAAATTTTAAAATATTAATTTCGCTAAGCTACTAGTTTAACTGAGTAGACACTAGTAACAAATTTTATATTTAAAGATGTACATGGATTAAAATGTCTCAAAAATTAGACCCATTGAACACTGGTGGAATGCCCCAGGGTGCTTCTTTTTTTTTTGTTAGGATAGGCCGGATATCCATATATGATGGCGCCCCTTTTGTTTTCTTTTACGGTTGAGAGGGGGGCAAATTACAGTATCTGGAAAAACCAAGGAAAGCCCCCCCCCCTCTCCTTCTAACCACTAAATATTAAATGAGTTTAAACAACGTATTTTAAAATTATTATTATATTATATTAATTTTATATTTTAATTTAATTTATTGGGGGGGGGGCTTGACATAAATTTTTTTAAAAAGAAACGTTTTTTTTCTTCATTTTATAAGTTCAAACTAAGTACCATAATAAAATTAATGATTTTTTCATCTCTCTCTCTCTCTCTCTCTATCAGTACTTTAAAAAAAAGTTTACCAGATTTTATTAATTTTTTTTTTATTTTAGTATACATATAACTGAAATTTTATTTTTGATAAATGTTTTCATTATTTAATTGCATTCCTATCCACTTTTATTCAATTATGTCTTTCTCTTTCTTTAAATGGGGCTTGATGTTCCATACTTTCGTTTTCCCAAAAAGCAATCTGCAATATTTACATGACGTCAATTTCAAACAAATTCTGGTTAAAACTTCAAATAGTGACAATATTAATTAGTTAGCTCTGATGCACTGAAACTAAGGTGGATTTTATTATTTTTGTGGACTGTTTAACCTCATACTAATGCGTAAGTACAATAAAATAGCTTAATAACTATTTATTTCACGTTTTTATGTTCCGCCCTGAATCTCAGGCGGAACGGGCTCGTAAGAAAATGGCCTTTGGATGTAAGAGTCCGAGGTATATAAGGAGCGAAGGGACGTTAACCGAGGCTCTTACTTGTAGGAGTAGGCACTCTGGTTAAAATAGCTTTATGTTATCTTGAAGAGTATGTCCATTGCTATTCACATCGGTATTTTTTGTCATCATGTGACCTTCAAGAGTCATATGGGCTACTAAGAAATAAAATGTCAAATTTAACTAAAATGTTCAAGGGCAAGGTAAACAATATTAAAATTATCTGCACAGTGTTTTAGATTGCCCCTATGTATCTATTCTTTCTTAAAAGTGATGCTCATTCAGTTAGTTTTCCGATATATTTAAGTTTATATTTAGATAAATCAGACAGTAGTTTAGAAACCAGAAGTCTCTGTCGAGACTGAAGCTCTACTGGATTGTACTTATAGCACAGGAAGAGAAAAGTTCTTAAGCAGTTGGGAATTGAACCTTTACCACAGCAATAAAAAGAATACTATTGTTTGCGGCTAATTGTATTCGGCGCGTCTGCGCGCTCGCGCAACAGATTTTCTTTATTAAATTTATCGCTTATACAGCATCGGGCTCGACATCCTTTACTAATCAAAGAACTGAAAGTACTGATAGGTGTTGATTTTAATGACGGTTTCAATAAAAATTAATGTTTCACACTTTGTTCGCAACTTTTTCACGTTATGTTCATTTATGATCCATGAAGAAGTTTGTTAGAATTAAATAAAAAAAAAAAATACAATTATACAGAGTCAAAAGGGTAAAGTTTGTTTTGATCTCACCATAACCTAGAATGATATGCCAAAAAGTGTAAGACTTTTTCTCTGTTCAATTTTTAAAAATAAATTAATAAGGTATTTTTCTGACCAAAAGTTTGTTTAAACGGGCTATTGATAGCAGTCATTTTTGCAACCAAAGTTTCTCCCCATCCTCAGACCTCTAATAAAGACAAGTTAATTCTTAGTAGTGCTCAATC